AAAAAAAAAAAAAAAAAAAAGAGAATATACGTAAAATGCTTTTACCCTTAGTAAGTCATTCCGAAGCTCTTACGGTCAAAACCCGAAAGCAACTTAATAACGTATTTGCTAGTGGATAAATCAAATATAAACACCCTTTGCAACAGAAATTTCTAACTTAACTGTTGTCAGCAAACTTCTAATCCAAAAACTCTGAAATATTTTTTCCTAAAAATAACCTTGAAAAACTTAAATTACTTTTTTACCTTTAGTATCGCATTTTCTATCAACTGTAAATTCACTATTTTTGCGTTTCTGCACTAAATCAGCATCGCATTGAAAAGCAACTTTTTTTACAGGCTTGAGACCGTTCTCCGATGAGCCGTTTGTCTTTACAAGGATACTTGGCGGTGGAACAACTCCAGCGCTAGAGACTGTTACAACTGGTGCTACCCCCGGTTGCTTGAAGTTAGATGTTTCATTAATTACAGTAATAACTCTCTTGATTTTCTTAAAATCCTGGTTTGGTGTGACATGTACTTTTTCACCAGATGAACTTTGCTTCGTCACTTGTTCCAAATTCTCAGCATCGTTGTATTTTATAGCGTTACTGTTTTCCGTTTGAATAATCACTGGCATAACTCGAGCCTTTTCTTCCGATGGCAAGCCAGTCGCTTTCACACTTTCCAAAAATTTCGGAGTTTTTGATAAATGAGAATCAGCAGTCAATAAAGAGCTTTGCGCTTTAGATGGAACTTGTGTTAATGAAACATCAGCTGCAGATGAAAATAAATTATGAACTTTCTCAGGAGTAAAAGTTGATGAAACACGTGGAGGCTGCAAGACGCTCTTTGAGTTCAGCAAATAACCTTGTAAATGCATAAACGAGGGAGACTGCTTGTAGTTGCCTGGCTGCGACGTCTTTACAGGAAAACGATTATTTTTCAAACTATCCGCCCGACTCCGGAATTTTGGGTCTTTTTCCAATTCTGCCCTGACCTCCAAAGCTGCATTCAGCATTATGTCTGTGCTTACATCACCAGGCAGTCGAGCTTTTAATATCTTCATTGTATTGCTTGGAACACGATTTCGCTGCGAAATTTTAGATACAGAATTTGGTGCCACTATTTCATTCTGTAGACCTTGACCATTCTTCGTTTCTGGTATATGCTTTTGTACTTGAACCTTATCTTGCTGCCATAAGTCATCAGAAGTGGTATTACTAGTCTGGCTTAATCTATTTGAAGTGGGTGCCTGGCTGGCTAGAGGTACCTCAGAAATAGATGGTCCTAAGCCAGAGCTGCCGGAATTCGAAAATTCAGAAACAGATTTATTCAAATCAGAAACCTGAGATAATACGGTCGGCTCTCTTACAATAGTCACTTCTCTCCACTCGGCCTCCCTCATATCCAACCCGTTTCCCCAGCCGGAAAATCCAGGATTTGAGCTATCCTCCGAAAAAGCATCTGTTAATGAAACAGTTTTTCTAGGCGGCCCAAATTTTGGTCTCATTAAAGGTACAGTCATTTGATTTGTCAACTGGTTGTTAGTCCGAGCCATTTGAAAGGGAAATTCAGTTTCAGGAAGTATCCTGTTTAAACCGTTTTCAGTGGAAATGCTAAGATTACTGCCAGTATAACGAAGCTGGTTGGTACCCACAGAATTACTTGAAAGTCCCTTGTTTACTCTGAATATTGCAGAAGAATCATAAGAAGAATTCACAACGTTGCCAAAGGTAGCCTCATTTCTTTTCATTTCATAACCAGTGTTATCAAAGCTCGACACTGTCAAGACGGAAAGGCTACTTGCAGCTCGCATACCTCCTCCTCCACCACAACCAACAGGCCGAAAAGATGTTGACTGCTGACCAAAGGGTTTTGGGGTTTGAAAATACATGGTGGAATGCCCTCTCGCACAAAAGTGAGGTTACATATGAAGTGAAAACAAAGTGAAAAAAATCAGCCAAGCATTGGAATAAGTATTAATTTAGTAAAGACAGTGCTCTTGACAAATAATTATGCCAGGCTAAAGTACAAGAAGACATAATCAGTAGGGAGTTGACAAGTCGAGTAAATAACGTTCCGTAAATAACCTGGAATTGTCCACAAATTGAAACACTCTAGTACCAACACAATAACGAATAACTGCAACAGAAACCCACTTACTAGATTTGAGTGATATCTGAAACCGTTAAAAAATGCACAAAACTTGTCTCAAATCTGTCTCAGAAAAAGTGCACGAGCAAAAGGCGCACTGGGAAAATATTTAGCAGTGGAAAATAGCTAGAAAACCAGAAGAACACACCTAATAAAACTAAAAATTCAAAAGTAAAAAATTCAACTCATTACAGCAGAAATTAAAATTGAAATATCAAACGTAATAAAAAACTAATGGGCTTGGAGCAAAGTTTTTTTTCTTTTACACTTGTAAAAGAACGTGCGTCGCAGCGAAGTTTCAATAAGACGGAGTTCTAGCAATAACTGATTAAAAAGAGAGATATTTTGTCGAAAAGATAAACACAACTGGAAAAAAAATTCGCCAATGTTCTGAGGTTCATAAAAAAGTAAACAAATAAATTCAGCCAGCTTACTTGACAATCTTAAAAAAACTTTTGTAAAAATCCAGGCGGTTTCAATGCACCTGATGGTACAACAATGACCAATTCACAGGGCGGTTTAAAGAATAAATTTTAACAACCAATTTTGGCAAAACAATGAAAGTGATTTTCGAACAGCCAAAAGGCAATACCGCACGGTTTATGTAAATGGTGACAAAAACGAACAGCTACCTCCGATCCCAAAATTATTTTAATCGGTCCTTTGTCTAGATATTTCTGTCAGACTACATTCTGCTCCAAAACAAGCGGCGAAAAACTACTTTTGAAGCTGTTTGTCCAACAGAATAACTAAAAGTGCCAAAACTTTCAAGAAAGAAAACCTCAACTTTTCATATTATCATTTAATCTACGAATCAAAAGAACGAAAACCTCGCCTGTCCAGAGCAAAAAATGAATAAGCTGTGAAAGAAAAAGGTAAAAAACTTGCAAAAGAAAAAATGAAATGACGCTTATAGCATAATACCGAAACATGGCTTTCCCCAAGACTATAAATAACCGCAGCAAAAAAAATTACATTAATAACAGAAATAGAAAGTGGCTGCAGTTTAAAGTGAACGAAGCGCAGTTTAATAACAACAGCTATGGATTAAGAACCGACTTCACCTCTTCTAACAATCGAAATACAAAGACACAGATGATTAACTGCTTTTCCAGCTGTTTTCCGTTCCAGACTCTTAAATAATCATCCAAAGTTAATATGAAATACTCAGACACAATTTCAAATATTTGACGAAGCGCATTTTCTATGAAATAAAACAGAGTCCTAACCAATTTAAAAAGATTGAGAAATTGCTAGCTGGCTGATCAGTAAAAGGCTTCCGAGTTAACCTAAAGAATTTCAACAGATCACTCGTTACTAAAACCTTTCACCCACGCAGTTGTGGCTAGTAGCACGACAGCAAAGAACTCTGTTGTAAAATGCATTTCCTAAAAAACTATACTAACCTGAAGGAACTAGGTAAAATTCTTAGCGATAAACAGCTATTGACCCAATAAATCGCAAATAATGCATCTCGCTCATTCAGTCTAAACTTTGAAAAGGATGAAGAATGATAGCACATTCCACGTGTCACTCAGCATCGGCAACTGCCAACTGTCTACTGAAGGTCCAAAAAATTAGCAAAAATAAAGCTCCTCCTTACAGTTTAGAGTTATTCCATTCTTACACTATTGAAAGCCATGAAAAATTTAGAAACCAACGTATTGTGATATTTGAAAAACCTTCAATCACTTCAACCAAAGACGATTCAAAAGAACGTACGATCATTAAAAACAAAAAGAACTCCATAATTAGTTCTGAGTGTATTTGCAGAAATATGAATTATCTCGCAGATTATTTTTTATCTAGAAACTGCGACGAATTACTTTCTGAGAACAAACAACAGTGGAAAGTAGGAGAAAACGAGGTCGAAAGCAACTTGGGCAAGCCTAAATGAATGCAGAGAAGCAACAGGCAATGGACTTGCTGTGAAGATGATGCAGAATAGAAAAACTAATAACAGTTGCTAATTTTTGAGAAGAAACAAAAAATTAGAAAAAAAAAAAAGAATGATCAATGTATCGGTGAAAGTGTAAACCAAGACTTCATCCAGATTTTCCCCCGCAGTCACAAAATCAGCACTCCTACCCAGGCCCGAAAATTCCAACTTCTTTTTATCAATTCCTGATGTACTATACCCGACTTTTTAAAACAATGAAATGATACACAGAGAATACGAAAATATAAAACACTCAAATTTTCGACTTATTAAAAAAATAAATTTCAAAACAGATGAATGATCTTTGAAATCATTTTCAGCCAACAAGTGTGCTTTCCTACCAACCTAACAAGCCTCTAGCAATGCTCCACAGAAAAACGAAGTAAAGCACAGAGTGTGCAGTTCTAATACTATTCATCAACAAAAAGCAAAAGAATAGAGAGAAAAAAGGAACATCTGGAAACCTTAAGCTTCCAGGCACTAATAGAGCATGTTATACTAGCGACAAAAGTATTAAAACTTCAAATGATAATTACATTCATAAAACCATTAAAATATATAAATCTGCAAAGTGTAAAACAACTAATCCAAAAAAAATTTAAGAATATGTATAATGTTTACCTTATAT